CTCCTGGGCTTAAGCGATTCTCTGGCCTCAGCCTCCCAAGTAGCTGGGACTATAGGCACCCGCCACAATGCCTGGCTATTTTTTGGTTGCAGATGTCATTGTTGTTTGGCAGGTCCAGGCTGGATTCGAACCTGCCAGGTCTGGTGTATGTGGCTTGGCGCCTTAGCCTCTTGAGCTATAGATGCCGAGCCAGCTTACTCTAATTCTAAGAAGACAACTAAATATAGCTCATCTGTTTTAAATTAACTTGAAATTTTGATCGAAATAACTTACTGTCCCTTTTTAGAGATGGATAGTTTATCATATTTAAAAAATTGAAATAGAGCAGTGCCCGTAGCTCAGTGGGTAGGGCACCGGCCCCATACACTGAGGCTGGTGGGTTCAAACCCAGCCCGAGCCAGCTAAAATAACAATGACAACTGCAACAAAAAAATAGCCAGGAATTGTGGCAGGCACCTGTAGTACCAGCTACTTGAGAGGCTGAAGCAAGAGAATCGCTTAAGCCCAAGAATTTGAGGTTGCTGTGAGCTGTGATGTCACAGCACTCTACCGAGGGCAACAGCTTGAGACTCTGTCTCAAAAAAGAAAATGAAATAAAAGGTAGGCCATCTTTTAAAAGTGGCTCTTTAAAACTATTTCTAGAACTTTAAGTTAGATGCATCATCAAAAATACAAAATAATGTATCTAACGTCCTTTGATTTTTGTTTAAAAACATCAACGACTTCATCAAACAATAGCAAAGCTTTTTATGAAAACAAGAACAGGCAATGGTGTTCAAACTCTGTGTTCCTTCTTCCCCTTTTGCCTGTGGTACTGAATGAGTGTACCTGTATGAGACCGTTTGTGAAGCTCCAAGTTGCTCGGGTGTTTGAAAGGTTTCCCACACAATTCACACGCGTACTGTCTCTGTGAAAGAGTCTGGCACTGGTCTCCCAGCACCGCAGGGTCTTCAGGTCTCTCCATTTCACTAATGCAATTAAAATTCTCACAGTGGACAATTTCTTCACTTTGTTTTTCTTCGAAAGGTTGGCTACTACCTTTCTCTATGAGATTCTCATCAGCAGATTCCATCCTTTTTGTTGAGTCATCATCCAACCTGGGTTCTGATCCTTGTTCCGCTGATTTCTGTGACTTTAGGAAATTTAGTTTTTTCAGGTGAATGGCCTTTTTGAGCCTCATCTGCTTGGTAGGTTGTGGGCATGTGGTGTCTGACTCAGGGTCTGGGGTAGAGTCACTCAAAGGCTGGGCCAGGAAGTTGGAAGGCAAGTGCTCTGAAGACTCCAGGATGCACTGGGAATGGCCAGCAGCACATGGCTGGCTTTCTACCGCAGTGAGGTCTGTGGGGGGACTCAAAGTCAAAGGCTGCTCAACGACTCGCTCGTGGCTGGGACAAGCAGTATCTTTATAGTACTGCTTACTGTAAAAGTTTCTGAGTTTGTAATAGTAACTTGGCTGTTTGAAAGGCAGGTCTGCACAGCTGCCATCTAAAGTGTCAGAGGTTTGTTTTGCTATTTCACTTGTGGAATGATGAAGACTAACTGATGGTGGAGCATGAGAATTTGATCCATCTAAAACTTTATTATGCTGTGCATCTGCAGAACACTCTTGCAGTAAATGCGGAGGGTAGTTTTCATTCACAGCACAAGTAGCATCAGAGGTGAGAGAGCTTTGCAGGGAGAACATACTATTACAAGACATGCCAGGAGGCTGTTCTACAGTGGCTGATTTTAAAAATGTGTGGCACAGATTCAGGACATTTTGAACTTGCAAACACTGTGCTGTATCCAGCATTATTTGTATATTGTCCTGGTTGAGATCTAGATGAGATGTGTACATGAAGTCCAGGATCTGTCCTATGCCACTAACATTTTTAATATCCAAGTGAAAAACATCATTCTTCTGGCTTGAAGAATTCTGAAAGAGGCTCCTGATAAAAGGAAGGATATGTTTATTGTGTTAACCATTTACACATTCTAACTTTTTACCATGGCATCACAGCTCACAGAAACCTCAAACTCTTGGGCTTAAAAGATTCTCTTGCCTTAGCCTCCCAAGTAGCTAGGACTGCAGGTGCCCACCACAACGCCCAGCTATGTTTTGTCGTAGTTGTCATTGTTGTTTTAGCTGGCCCATGCCACGTTTGAACCTGCCAAACCTGGTATATGTGGCTGGCTCCCTAACCACTGACCTACAGGTGTTGAGCCCAAATTCATTTTAGTTAAGAGCTTCTTTTCCTTTCAGATTAATCTCAACACAAAAATAAAAATAAAATAATTAAATTTTTTGAAAGCTTACAAAATCCAATGATAAAAACAGTGAAATCCAAGGAAAAAACAAAATGTGGCCAAAATACTTCCATACTAGTCCTCCTCCCCCCCCCTCCCCCCCATTTAGGAGAATGAAGTCTAAATTGCATACCTAAAATACTGGCTAAATGCTGCTAGGACATTTTTATGTGCTTTAAAGCAGACTCCTTTCACCACCAACATACAGTCACAAAGCAGGCCTTGGATCCGCTGCTCGTGCAGTTGTTGGAGGAGATGGCAGCTGTGGGTGGCAACAGAGTCCATGCTAAACCAGTCAAGAGACCTACAGCAGAGAATGCACAGAAAACAGATGTTATTAACGACATTGTTGGAGACTACATGGTGCCCAAACCCACTGACTGATCTGTGCTTCCCTCTGTGATCCTCTATCAGTTGGGGTCTCTCACACACACACCCCGTTTCTGAATCATCTGGACCAGTGGTGTTTAACAGAACTATGCGACATGATAGAAATGTTCTCTGTCTGCACTGCTCAAAACAGCATGTGGTCGCTGAGCCTTGACACATGTATATAGCTAAGGGACTGAAACTTTAATTTAATTTATATGTAAAAAGTCACCATGTTTGATGGTGCAAACCTACAATATGACTATGACAATACTATATGTACTTCTCTTATGTCTACTTAGGAATATATCAAGTTAAAAATAAAATAAAATAGTGCACATATACAAAGATGTGTAAGGTAAAAGGCAACTGGTTAAGATCAAATCCGTATTTACTGACTACCTGAATTAGAAGTTTGGGAAAATTGGAAGCCAATTTGAGGAAACAAGTACAAGTCAAAATACCTAACCTCTTGGGAGGCTGAGGCAAGAGAATTACCTAAGCCCAAGAGCTAGAGGTTGCTGTGAGCTGTGCTGCCACAGCACTCTGCTGAGGGCGACAAAATGAGACTCTGTCTCTTAAAAAAAAAAGAACTGTTTGTCAAGTCTTAGGTGCTTGCGAGAGTTCTTTCCTAGTACAGGGATCAGCCCTTGGTGATGCACGTTTTTGACCAGGCTATCATTTGGTCATTAAATTTGTTTATAATATCCTTTGCCATAAAAAAAAAAAAAATACCTAACCTCACTAGCACTGAGGCAAGAGGCCTCACAAAGCAGCACATCCATTCATTTGTGCTTTTGTCCTTCTTGAAGGTACTTCAAGCAGAGACCTGAAGGAAGTATCTACAAGAGAATGAGCCATGTGTGCAGTTGGGTAAGAAAGACTCGTGATCAGGAAGTCTCTGAGGCACCAGAGCTCTGGGCCTGAGCATGTGGCTGATTAGCACTAGGAAATGACATCCTGAGTGGGGAGGGGTCAGGAAATGTCCAAGGTTCCAGGCTTAAGAACCTGGACTCTGGCTCAGCATGAGATGGGAAGCTGTTATGTGGACACTGAAAATCATTCAGTAGCTATTTACTGGCTGACTACTCCATGCAAGGCTCTAGGGCTGCAAAAACTAATGAAATGTGCCTGTCACAAGCTCATGAAGATTAAATTCTAGTGAGGGAAATACACACAAAATAGTACATGACATACAACTGAACAAACTTGTTACAGCCAGGCACTGGGATCCATACGAGAGTAAGCCCTGGTCTCTAACATTCAGGACACAGTCTAGCAGGGCATGACTTATGGGAGAGAAATAGTGGCAAGAAATGACATCAGAGTGGGACAAGGCTATGGAGGTTAAAATGGCAGTCTGGAGACACTGAAAATCTCAGAAACCTTATCTGCTTTCTTTGCTTTCATTCTCAGACTTAAGAATTGCTGAAAAGGTCACTATACCACTAACCCAAACTCTAAGCTTTTTAACGTGGCCCGGATCTCCAGGCGTTATCTATTACTATTGCCTCCAGCATGTGCCCAACTACCCATGTTCCCAAACCAACTATGTTCTTGGCCAGGGGGTTCGAGCCCTCCCCCACCACTCATCAGCTATAACTCTGGGCAAATCACTTCTCTATCCTCCTTCATTCCCCTGCCTCACAGGTTACTGTGGTCACCCATGAAAACATTTAGAATGCTGTCTGGCATATATAAATACTCTGTAAATGTCATCTGAGGATCACCCGAGGATCCTGTTCAAAATGCAGATTTCTGGCTGGTACAGTGGCTCAATGCCTGTAATCCTAGCACTCTGGGAGGCGGTGGCAGGTGGATAGCTTGAGCGCATAAGTTTGAGACCAGTCTGAACAAAAGCGAGACCCTGTCTCTACTAAAAATAGAAAAACTGAGGCAAGAGGATTGCTTGAGCCCAAGAGTTGGAGGTTCCTGTGGGCTATGATGCCACGGCACTCTACCCAGAGTGACAGCTTGAGACTGTCTCAAAAAAAAAAAAAAAAAAAATGCAGATTTGCGGGTAGTGTCCCAGAGCTCTGTTCTGTCAGTCTAGAGTGGGGCCTGAGTATCTGCATTGGAAGCAACCAGGTGATTCTGGAGCAGGTGGACTGCAGACCTCTGCCTTATACTTGCCCTCTTGCTCCCCAAAGCCTTTGGTTCTGCTACTTTCTGTCCTAGGAATGCTTTGCTCATACTGACCTCCAGCCTTCCAGCTCAGGGCTCAGCTGAACTGTCACCTACTTTCCTGCCATTCTTAACACGTTCCCCTCCCCATTCCCCCCCACCCCATGAGCTTTAGGGTCACTCTGTGACCTCACAGAACCCGGGAACATACTTCTGAAGGATAACTTATCACAGTGTTCCTTCTCTGGTGTCTACACACGGTGCCCCATTATTGGTCATCTTTGGCTGGCACACAGAAGATACTTACACACTCCAGTGCTTATTCATACTGGTTAGCAATGTTCTAATTTACACCTTTTTGTCCCTTCCCTCTCCATTCCCCTCAGGGGATACTCTCCTTCACCCATAAAAACGACTGTGACTTTGACTTCACAAAGAAAGCTGGGCCCAGGCTCGGCGCCTATAGCTCAACCGGCTAAGGCGCCAGCCACATACACCTAAGGTGGCGGGTTCAAATCCCCAGCCCAGACCCACCAAACAACAATGACGGCTGCAACCAAAAAATAGCCGGGTGTTGTGGTGGGCGCCTGTGGTCCCAGCTACTTGGGAGGCTGAGGCAGGAGACTCACTTGAGCCCAGGAGTTGGAGGTTGCTGTGAGCTGTAATGCCACGGCACTCTACCCAGGAGGACAGCTTGAGGCTCTGTCTCAAAAAAAAAAAAAAGAAAGAAAGCTGGGCCCAAGAAAATTTGATATAACCTGAGTGCCTTTTACTTCTCTTCTCAGCTCCAGATTTCCCACTCACCCTGCCTTTATTCCTTGCGCTTCCCAGGATGAAGAGGGCCTCCTCCTTTCCACAGCAGATGTCCTTTCCAGCCTCCCCCAGCACCCTGTTGCATCAGTGAAGCTTTCATCGCTTTATCCTCTTCTCTGTTGGCTTGTTGGTTCCTACAACACAAGATTACCCCGCGTTGAAAACAAAGCAAAACAAGAATGTCATCACAGTCCTCTCCTTCACACTCGTCAACATTGCAATTTGTGTGTCCCACTCTACTTTGTCAGGACTCCATTGTCACCTTGTAACCTTGCCGCCACTTTCTATGCTGAAACAGACTTTCCCACAACCCACTTTTCTCAGTCTCCACCACCCTCCTCAGCTTTCCTGCAATGCATGGTAGTACAGTCCAGCAACCCCCACCTTGAAATTCCTCCTGCTCATCCTACGCCCCCCCCACCTGTTCCATCCCATGCTATGAACATCTATGTACCTTAAGGTGCACAGCCTTAGCCCTCTCCTCTTTCCCTTGATATCACTTTATACTCAGCTTTTACCTGTTCTAAATAGATAATTCTCTCTACATTCAAAGCTTTAACTTTAGCCACCAGTTTCAAATCTCTACCACTCTGCTAAACATCTTTACTGGCATGTCCCCTCAACTCAGAATCTCTGTACCTCATCCCACATCACCTCACCCTTCAAACCTGTACCTTGTTCCAATTCCCCCATCTTTACAAAAAGCTTAGTTTCTAATATGTGGAGTCTGGGGGTATTGGCACAATCTCCTGGTTTGAGATAAGGGCAGGATTCAGAGAAAAGTGGGACTAGACATGGTGACACCTATAAAAAGCAATACCAAAACCCTAGGATAGACAATATTGCTCCAACAAGAATACAGAAAGAGAGACATTATGATAGGTGATAACCACTGGTTATCAGTGCTGGATTCTCAAGGATACTGCACAGCCACATGAGTAAGTAATCAGTTTCCTAACCCTGCCCCACTGGTTACTTGAAAAGGCTTCTAGGGTTATTATTATTATTACTGTTGGCTATCATTTGTTGACTACTTACTACAGATCCATGCTAAACATATCCATTAACCCAAACAATTTAACAAGAACACAATTAACACCATTTACAAGAGAAGAAACTGAGAAATGAGTTTAAGTAACTTGTCCAACACCATAAAACTGTTATGTGCCAAAGGCAGGATCTGCATCCTGGTTTCTAAATCCTGGAGTCCATGCTCTTATACTACGTTTTCTCCCACAGGAAAAAAAAAGACATCAGAAACAAAACACAAAACCCACCTCCACAAACTTAAATGCTAAAATGCAGCAAATATTCTGACTCTACATTAGATATTTTCTACTTCTACAGAAATGATAAAGGAAAAAACTGTTCGGAATGACACTCAGCTGTTTTACAATTTGCTTTTATTATAAAAATTATACCTATTCTGTATCATCTTGTAGTTTTCTAAATTAATTCATGATTCCAACTCTGTACACCCCCTCTGATAAGGTTATAAAAACTTCTGGAAAAAGAATTTGTATCTTATGTGTTTCCCTGTACATAACAACTATAAACAATAAAGTATTCTCTACCTAATAATAATGACAAATATTCTTTTTTCCTATATTCCTATAGGTATCATCCTAAGGCTGTTACATTAACTCATTTAATCCCTGGCTTGGTGTCTATAGCTCAAGTGGCTAAGGCGCCAGCCACATACACCAGAGCTGGCAGGTTCGAATCCAGCCTGGGCCTGCCGAACAACTCATTTAATCCCCATAATAAATGTAAAATAGTTTCTATTATTACCCACATTTTACAGATGAGGACAAGGAATTTGGGTGGATTAAAGACGGCCACAAATTCTGTGACGTTCCTCCCACAGGGTGCTGGGGTCTAGGCCTCCTCCCCTTGAATCTTAGCAGCTGTATCTTATCTTACAGAACACAGTAAAAGGACAGCTATAAAGCTGTGCTCATTTCCAGGCCCAGGTCGTAAACTTCCACTTCCCATCTTTTGGAACATCAGCTCTGGGAGGCCTGAGCTACTTGTAAGATGCCCAACTGGAAGGAACACATGGAGTGAGACAAGGGTGCAGATGGGGCCAGCCTTTCAGCCACTCCTTCCAGGGAAGCCATCTTGAACTCTCCAGCATAGCCCTCCTCCAGCTGAATGCCATTGAGTGATCCCATCTGACACCATATGGAACTAAGAATTGCCCAGTTGACACCGACCTGGATTCCTGACCCACAGAATCATGAGATAAAATAAAATGGCTTTTAAGTCACTATATTTGGGGGTAGTTTGTCACACAATAGATAACCTGACTTGGTACAGAGAGGATAGTCACACAGCTAATAAGGAAGAAACAAGGGCAGAGCTGGGGATCAATCCCAGGGAATCTGACTCCAAAGCCCACATTCACAACCACTACTCTAAATTGTTACAAATGGACAAAGTCCTCCCTGTCACTGGATTAACCGGCTTTCCAGTCTGCCTACGCTGGATTGTCCAGCTAATCCTGCAGACGGTTCTCTACAACTCAAAATTATATCAAGGAAGAGCTCAGACCAATATGAATGAAGGGAATTTAACGTCCTTCTAAAGGGAACAAGAGCCAGAAGGGAATTTTAACAGGCAGAGAAGGCACCTAGAGCAAAAAACTGTTCTGCTTGATCAGGGAATTCTACCAACTAGTCAAATACCACTGGATAGAATTTGTGAAAGTTTTTTCACTGGAAAAATTAACAGATCACTTCTCCAAAGATACAGAGTTCACGCACCTCGGTATCAAGCTTGCTTTAGAAGGAGCTGAGGGAGTCTTTGCCCATCACACTTTTCAAATGGCTTGCCTCAGCTGCTCACCCCACCCCAAGGACAAAAGCACTGGCTTCAAGGAAACTAAACCTTTTCTTAGCTTTATACTGACGCTCTCATATTAGGAAGGCCAATTCAGTTAAACAGATACTGTGTGCTTACTATGTACAAGATATTGTGAGGGTGGAATGCTGATAAAATCAACAAAATATGTTCCCTGCCCTCCAAAGGCTCTGTGACTCAGTCTTCCATCATTCACTTAACTTAATGCCAGGCATTGGGGACACAGTGGTGAACAACTCAGATCTGGTCAAACCTAACTTCATGAAGCATCAGTCTAGGGACGACAAGAAGAAGTAGAGTACCAGTTATTCAATGGAGGAAGTAGAAATTAATTTGGAGGGGAGATAAAAGGGAAACCTCCTTGAAGAAGAGACAACTACACTGAAACCTGAAAGATGAGTTTGCCAAAGGATGACAAGAGGGCTGCTGCTATTTGAGTTTTCAGGGGGAGCAAATGGAAAAAAAAGTAAGTGAAGTCCAGGGTATATGTGCCCTACACAACAAAACAAAAAACAAAACACCTGGAGCACTCTGCTTTTCAATCTTTTGGCCATTCTGCTACTTCTCTTGGAAAATATTGTCCTTGTCCAGTCTAGTTGAATAACATTGGTTATGAGTTGAATTGTGTTCCCCCAGTACCTCAGATTGTGACTGTATTTCAATATCAGGCCTTTAAGAGTAGTAAAAATGAGGCCATTAGAGTGGGCTCCAGCCCAATCTGACTGACATCCTTCTAAAAAGAGAACATACAGATACAAAGACACACCAGAGATGTGAGTGCACCAAGGAGAGACCATGGGTACACACAGCAAGGAGGTGGCCATTTGCAAACCAAGCAGAGAGACCTCAAAAGAAACCAAACCCGGCTCGGCACCTATAGCTCAACCGGCTAAGGCACCAGCCACGTACACCTCAGGTGGCGGGTTC